TTATTAGTTATCAGATATCTTGTTTCTAAAAGAAAATCTATGATGTTTGCGAAGTTGTTTGACAAAGACCTTTTTGTATACTAGTAGTGATAAATATCACAGTTTGAAAAGGCAATATGAAAATAATAGCATGTGGTATAGTTTCTTTTTATTACATTTTTGTACACCATTTTGCATCTGGTTTTAGTTGTGTTCAATGGAACACTGACACTGTCATTGTTAACAACATGCTGATTATGCATATGCCTGTTTCTCTTTGTAAAGTCCCCTTGAAAATGTAACATCAATCCTGAAATCTAGAAGGGTATTAAACTTTTTCCTATGTTGATATCCTGCTGTGCGTTTCATCACAATTTGAATTTATAAAAAATAAAAACATTATTTCAATTTAGGTTTTTTCCTATAAAGACAAACCCCTTCCCCTCCAGAAATAACAATACATTAACTTGAAAGAATTCAGCTAACCTCTTCCCCAGGGTTAGGTATTTTCTTTGCATCATTCCTTCTTCTAGATCCACAGAACATTTGAAAGAAAAAAGATGAAGGAAAGGTTCCATTCATTTGTAAAACACGAATCATACATATATGCATATCTTTCAAAATCTACAATAGATAGCCATTACATTGATTGGTTGTTTGTTTCACGTGCAGTGGCAAATATTTCATGCATATTCAGAAGGAGGTCCTTATAAATCCTTATTTGTTTACCTCTTCTCAATGCTAGTCTTCTAAAGATCTTTCTGTAGACTGTTTTGCATACAATAATGAAATAAGGAAATGTGGTAAGATTGCCAATGTGACAACTTTTCAACAGTCCAAATGATGTGGATGTAAGACAATGACCATTCATAGTTTATGTGTTATGCATGTTATGACAAAATGTGAAGCAATCCACACTAGAAAACCAACGGCCTGATTTATGCTAAAAGGGTAAACAAAAAGATGATAGACAGCAACCAACAACAACCACGGAATAATAGGCTTCTGACTTTGGACAGAAACATACATAATGTGGTTGTGTTAATTATGACTATGAGCGCACATTACTCCCCAAAGAGAGGCAAAAGGGACATTCAAACGCATACATGTATGTTGAAATAAACTGACAACACAATGGTAAACAACGAAAAAGAAAAAAGACAATCAACAGTATACAAAACACTATATAGAAAACTTAACACTGTGCAACACAAACTTGGGCAGTGATTCAAATAGACAATAAATGTGGATAGTGTCCACATGTGGACACAGATGATGCCCCCGCTTGCATATCATATAGTTATAAAGGGACATAACTGAAGAACGGTAAAAGTGACGCTACCCAAATTTGAACTTGATCTGAGTTTTGTGGTAATAAGCATTGTGTGTAAGTCTCATAAAATTTGGTTGAGGCTAACTTAAGTGGAGAACAGAAACTAAAATTCAGCAATTTTTCTATTTGTAAACACGCATAACTCGACAACTGTCAACGTATATTTGTTCCGTCTAACAGAAGTTCCACTGGAAACTTTGTTATAAACAATGTCATAATATCTATTCCTATTGGAACAAATATATTATACCATTTATTCCGTCAGGAACATTTACTGTAATATTTATTCCAGTGGAAATAATATTCCAGAATATTGTTTCCATTTGGAACTTATATTATGAAGGAACTTCTATTCCGTGACAGAACGGTTGTGTATAAGTTTTATAACATTTAGTTGAGACAAACTAAAAAATTCAGCAATTTTTATGATAATAAAGGGACACAGCACTAGAATGGTAAAAGTGTCGCCACCAAATTTCGTACTTAATCTGTATCATGTAGTAATAAGCATTGTGTATCAGTTTCATAACATTTGGTTGAGGCAACATAAAGTTAGAAAACGGAAACAAAAAATTTGTACTTGATCTTAGTTTTGTGGTAATGAATATTGTGTATAGCATAACTCAATAATGGTTAAAGTGACACTACTTGATCTGTGTTTTGTGGTAATAAGCATTGTATATAAGTTTCATAACATTTGGTTGAGGCAAACTCAAGTTAGAGAACGGAAACCAATTTTGGGATGTACGTACGTACGTACGTACAGACAGACAAGGGTAAAACTTAATGCCCCTACCGCTACGGCAGGGGCATAAAAATAGGAATAAAATGTAAAAGTCTGCTTTGAATGGCTTGAATCGATGTAGATAGGAGTGCTAAGCATCCATCCAAACACATGCTCTTTAATGGCTCACTTACCTCATTAGATTGGCAAGAAGAACATATAAAAAAAATTTAAAAAAACAAAACATGTGAGTGAGTGAGTGAGTGAGTATTGATCTAAGAGTACACAGTTACTGAAAGCTAGTTTAAAGCCAATTATTATAACTATTAATAGTTTTTTTTTTCTCCCAGACTAACAAAGTATTAGTCATTAACAGCCAGTGGAAGTAGAAGACAAGTTCCTCAAAAATCAACTTGAAAAAAATTTGCAACATACAATGTATGAACATGACATGTTCTTTCATCAAAGTTTAGGATACTAATGTTATTTGATATCCCTGTTGTTCCTCTACTAAACATTAATAATAAGATGTGCTGATCAGTTGGTTGCTTAAATTTAAGGTAGCTTCTATTAATCAAATGATTAACTACATTTTTACTTCTATCTCGAATTTTGATTCTCTGAAACCCGAAATACGGCGAAATCGTGAAGAGAAAAATGCACGTATGTCTGTTCTTTTAGTCTGACATATTTTATAAATGGGAAGTGAACCGCAAAGTTAAGGCTCTGTAATTTGTTAGTCAAATTGTTACTACTAAAACATGTAAAACAAAGTGGTTCACGGAACCATATGCCTTCATAATTGTTGAAATAAACATCGCGGAAAAAATATTCATCATCTTTTGTTTGTGTAAACATCACTGTAAAAACGGTAAATTCTATTGGTGGGCGGGGCTTAGAATCACAACTTACGGATGCTGAATATTGTTGCATAATTCGCTATTCTCGTCAATTTAATTAAAGAACTTAAAATAATTATGATTGAAACTTAAATGTCACTTTCTATAAGCAAAAACATTGAAAGATTGTACGTTGAAAGATTTTTTTGTGGTCATTAAAATGTGTATGTTCCCGCCCACTTAATGACTCGCCGGAAGTCGTATAATGGGATTCCCCAAACACATGTTTACATTTTACAAGTTGCTATATTTGTTCACTCAATGGGTCAGAAAAGAATTGTATGGACTCGACTGCATATCTCCGCGTTGTTCATTAAATTTCTGATATTTCAACGTAAGTTTAAAAAAAAAATGCTTTTGTTGCAATAATGTACGACTCCAAAGCGAGAACAGCGGCAGTGAACACTCGGAGTTTCAAAATAAAGTTTTTCTTACGGAAAATAATTTTTTACGCAAACTGTATCGTAAACATTGATTATTAGGTATTTTATAACCAGTTGGTATTAATAACCAAAAATAAATGTAGTTAACGTGACAATGTCAGTGTTCTGAAACTTGGTTGTCAACAAGAACTTCGAAAAAATGGCGACGGCTATTTATAAAAAAAATCGGCACGTTTAAAGTATTAATGCATTGCGAAAACAAATATTTCATCAATGAAATTCAAGTCAGATGTTTTTATGAATATCCTTTTTATATTGGATACAAATTTTATTAAGTCTGATACAGACATTTCGTAGTCAAAGTGTTTCAACTGAGGTACTATACAGAGGCGTCAAAAGGCGTCATTATGGAGTAAAGGGGGTGGCGTCAAAAGGCGTCATTATGGAGGAAAGGGTTAAGCACATGACATCTCCCATGATATTAAGACGTTAGAAACGGAATCCCAATTTATTTAAAGTTAGAATAAAAAAAACAAAAAACAAATGAAGATTTGCAAGCGTTCTCATTTAAATGATTTTTGGACAGAATAAAATGTTTTCCGCGGCAGTTTGAAGACAAAATTGAAGAAAAATGAAACAACGATAAGGTTAGAGCATCCGAATCTGAAAACGACATCTTTCATTGACATGCAAATGATCGCAAATAAGGTCACGGAATAAATATTTGTGATTTTCACCGGAGAAGACCCTTGATTAAACGTAAAACATTGAACTAAGCGGCTGTGGTACCCACGTTGCTCCACGGAGGAAGCCATTAATTTTCACCGCCGTTTTAACTGAATCGTTCCTATTTAAAACGGTACGATTGCAGAAAAAGAAGCATATAAACAAATTTCTTAATACGCTCCATGATTGGTCAATTTTCTTGCCTTGAGGTATCGTTGGGCACGCGCCAGGCGATGCCTCAAGGCATTGTTGGAGATGAAAGGGTTAACTTAATTAACAATTTATCAGTTATTTTAAAGAAAAGCTATGCATTGGTAATTAGAGAATTTAAGACAAATTCGAGAATATTTTCCTTATTTCATAAGACAAATATGTGTCTACTTTGTTTTTTGAAAGAATTAATGCAGTAATATTTCAGAAAGCTAAACATATGATTGAATATTATTTTTCGACTTTTAAAAGGTTAAATGAGCCAAAGGTGTATCATGGATGCAAAATTTCATCAAAATTTGTGACACAGCGCAATTACTGTACATTTAGACCACGAGTGATTTTTCCCGCTAATTTCATATTTAAAATTAAATACTTAGTAGCAAAATTTTGTTCTTCTAGTAGAGAAGGTAAGCATTGAGGATAAGAAAAACGCAAAAATAAAATACTCAAGACCCGGATTGGCCAAATGAAATTTGGGGAAAATAAACCACTTAACAGTACAAAATCAAACCATGCAGTTACAGAATTGAGCAGAATGTCCGCTAGACATGCCTTTCTACTGATAGAGATCTGTTTTTTTTGTGTGAAACGGTTGATTTTCCATATCGTTTCAGCTTCAAGTCTTGTTCGAAATCTGTAGTGTCAAGTCTTTTCTGACACAGTCTTGCTATGTACTTATGGATTGAAAGATTGCAATTTAAATATATTTGATATGCATCGTTATTATTTTTACTTAATCACAG